ATTTAATTATCTCGTGTTGCATCACAAGTCCCCAAGTGTGACAGGTTGTTTGAGCAGTCCCTGGCCCGTGCCTTGATGTTGTAAATGTCAGCTGGGTGTGTTCTCACTTCACTGTATAACGCTGTTTACTGGCTACAAACATGTCGTTTGGCGTTGTTGAGGATGGGCCAACTGAATTAAACGAACTGTGGCGGTTGGAGAAACGTGCTTTGTTGCCCCGGCTTTGTAACGGGTCCGCGGGGTCTGTCTGCTCATCATGCCTCCATATCACCATGTCGCCATGCTGCCATGTCACCATACCACCATATTTCCATTCCGCCATGCCACCTCGTCACCTTGTCGTCGTGTCGCCATGCCAACGTGGCGCCAGTTACCATGGCACCAGTCACCATGCTGCCATATCACCATGTGCGCCATGTGGCCATGTGGCCATGTCACGACGGCCTGTCAGCGGCCCAGCGGCGGGCCGTCGGAGCGCCGCCGACCCGGCTCTGTGCGGCGTGCGTCACTGACGGCGTGTTCGGTTCGCAGCGACGCCGCTGTTCACCGGCTACCCGCAGAGCTACCAGCTGCACAGCGACCCCACCACCGGCCACTGGATGCTGGTGCCTCGCACTGTTGGTGAGTGGCCTCTTGACCCGACCCAGCTGGCCCGCGCCCGGTACGGGAAAAAAGCCTTCCTGCCAGACCTCACCGAACAAGTAACCGTGGTGACCTGACCCCGTGCAGGTATGGCCCTGCCAGGCCTGAGGTGAGGCCATTCTGATCTGACTGCGCGCTGACCTGACCCTGTGCTGACCTGACGTGACCTGTGCCGGTCTCACATGATGCGTAATCCCTGACCAGACACATGCTGATATCGTGTCACCCGTGCCGCCCTGACCACGCACCACCACTACATTTGAGCTGGCCGGCTGTGTCCGTGCTGTCTTGACCTGACCTGCCCTGACCTGTACTGACCTGACGTGTTGCAGCAGAGCCGGCGCCGCGGCCGGCCGTGCTGTGGTCTCCGTATCAGTGTATGCCGCCACTACAGTCCCAGCAGCTGACGGTCCTGCCATCCCAGCCGCCGCAGCTATACATCCAGCAGTCGCCCACGGAGCAGGCGCCGCTGCTGACATCTACCGGCAACCATGTAAGTGGAGTTGTTGGCATCTCCGCCAGATGGGTGGAGTTCTGGCCTTGCCTCGATGCATTACGTGCGTCTCGACCCGTGCTCACTGTTTTGTTACGCTTCCGATGGCCAGCAACCGACCTGCGCATCCCCATAACTCACAGCGCAGTGCTGTCAGGATGACGTGTTTTGGCTTCTCTGTAGTGTTCGCCAGCTAAACACGGTAAGGTCAGGCCCATATAAGCAATCAAGCGGCACCTGAAAGGCAAGATGCGTGTTTATTGGTATAAGTTTGACGCTTGTCGTGTTGCTGTTTCTTTTATTCTTAGCTGACGTGTTTTACGTCCCACCTAATTTCCACCCGCCTCACATTTGTTCATCGCACTTAATATCCCTCTCTACTCGCATGTCCCGTGCCTGACGGGCGCCTTCTCTCCGCGCTGCAGAGCCTGAAGAAGGAGGACCCAACGAGCCGCCTGAAGCCCATCAGCCGGCGCCGGCCCACGTGCCGGCGTCGCCGAGCAGTGCGCCGCCCCTGCCCGTCCAGTACATAATCCCGGCGGCGCCGCTCCAGGTCAGAGGCTGCGTGACCCACACCCCCAGCCGGGCCGGCGCTCGTGTGACAACGGGGCCGTGACGTGGCTAGTGCCCGCTGGCGGCGGTTATGCCGCAGGTGCGCGTCTCGGGGAGGGGAGCTCCGCTGACAGTTTGCGAGTGCAATGAGTTCGCCGCGCCGCCTCACGTGGGCCAGCGGTGAAGGCCAGTTTTTGTCGTCCAGTCGCCAGTGACGTGATCGCCTCTGACGTCGCCTGCGCCTCGCCGTCCCCAGTCGGTGTACTACACGCACGCCGAGCCGCCCGCTCCCTTCATCCTGCAGCCGGCGCCGGCGCCGCCGCAGCCGTCACCGCATGCAGCTGGCGCCGAGCCTACACGGCCGCCGTGCCGTCCGCAGCCCGGCGTGCACACCATGGCCACCGTCGGACAGCTGCCGGTAGGTGGCTGGTAGCAAGGTGGTATAGGGTGCGCTGGTGGTGCAGTGCAGGTTTTGCTGGTGGTGCTAATTGCAATGCAAGGAATGGTAACACTGCAGTGTAACTAACTGGCATGTAGCCACGCTGGTGTTGCGAACATTACAGCGATTGCTGCGATCTGTACGTACACGGTGTCTGCATACACACTAGACATGTGTTCATACTGCGTCAATAGAGCACCTACAGGGTCAGCTCCATCTTGCCAGTAGAATAGTACCGAAATCCGGCGGGGGGGGGAGGGTCGCATGGACCGCCCCTCCCCATCAGGACGGGGGTGAAAAGAGTAAAGTGAGATGTCACCGGCAAGTGAGGGTAAAGTGAGACGAGAGTAAAAGTTTTCAAACAGGCCAGAGAATATCCCATGTAACATGACTATGCGTCACCACGGACGCCACCAAAATAGACACTTCCACCATGCCGCTGGAGCTCCGCGTGCTTGTCCTGCACTCGCTTCGTCCGATTAGCTGCTTCCTGTCGCGGCGTCCGTGCGCTGTTGTCTGTAGTCTGAGGCTGAGCGTGTCGGCTGTGGCGCAGATCCTTACCGCACGTGCCGCTGGTGCGCCGGAGCCGCCGCCGGCGCCGCCGCCTGCCGAGATTGGCGGCCGCCGCCGAGCCGTGTCCCGCCCGCCAGGGAGGTCAGCACCAGGTCACAGGTCAGCACCAGGTCATAGTCCAGGTCAGCGCGCCCGGCTGTCGGTCGAGGCCGCCGGAGCCGGCGAACAGGCCCGAAGAGTGCATTGGCTTATTTATGTCCAGGCATATCATTACTGAAACAGTCGAACAGCCCGCTTATGCGTGCCAAGGCATCGGCGCTATGGCAATATAGTAATGTCATTTCGAACTATATGAGTTTGTTGGAGGCTGGCATGCTTCTTTTGATTCAGTAAGCGCTAAATATTAATGCGTCCTTTTGTCCTTCTGTTCATAGGGCACCTCCCCAGTAAAACCACGATGACGGGTGCTACACGCCTCGTGGAGGTGCAGAGGACGAACCAGTCTTCGCCTTCTCAAACCGTCGCCCCACGGACCAGTCGGCATCAGACGTCGACCAATCAGCGTCGCACATTCATGCCATCACACCCGAGGTCTGCCAATCATCACCGGACGCCGAGCAATCATCTCCAGACGAGACCCAACCGGCGCCGGATGCCGACCAATCAGCGGAGCCGGGGGCGGAGCCTGTGTCGGCCAGCTCGCCGGAGCCGGCAGTGCCATCGCGGCCGCCGAGCGAGGCGGAGCTCTCTCCGCTGGCAGGCTCTGACAGCGACTCGTGCGGCTCGCCGGCGCTCGTCATCAACGAGGGCAGTCCGGAGCCGACGGGCCAGAGCCAGAGCCAGAGCCAGACCCAGAGTCCATCCGAGCTTTTGCAGCTGCTGGCCGTCTGCGCGGCGGAGCTGCCGCCTCTGCCGCCGCCGCCTCCTGCCCGTCCCCCTCCCCCGCTGCCGCTGCAGTCGTCCGCTGCTAGCGGTCTGCACCTGCTGTGCGAGGGCGTCGTGGTGCACGAGCGGCTGGCGGCCGGCGGCTGGTCGGCGCTGCTGGCCGCTGCTGAGCTGCTGGCGCCGTCGCCGCCGCCACCGCCGCCACCGCCCAGCCAGGCGCTGGCCGCCCTTTGCGCCGTGGCGGACGCCGAGCTGGCGCGCGCCGGCCAGCGTCGCTTCTACGTGCCTCCCCGCTGGCAGATGGCGGCGCGGCCGGCGGTGGACCCTGCCGGCCGGCGCGAGTACCTCTCGCGGGAGAGCGGCGAGCGCGCTCGACACTGGCTGAGGCGGCGCGCCGCCGGCCCGGCCACAACCGCCGACGATATGCAGGTACGGGACGGTGGTGCCGCCCCGTCTCCTGTGTCGAACCCACCACACCAGGCTGTGGTTGTCCCGAATTTATGTTAGTCGTTAGCAAAAGAGGCGTGATAAGCGTTGCTTCTGAAGCGTGGTATGATGGACTTTTGCTGACTGCTGGTTGTGGGTATTGTTCGTGCAAGTTTGAATGAATGTGTATCTGCAGTTTGGTCGGCGCCAGTTGCCCCCGTGACGGGCCTCACGAGTGACAGATCCGCCGGTGCGGTGTCCGCCTCGGACAGAGCACCACCGAGTGCCCGTCCGCCAGTGGGGCGTGCCGCCGTTCCCGCCGGGCGAGGCGCCGTTTTGCGCTCCCCTGCGGGCGGTCCGGTGACGCCGCCCCTCTCCGCCAGGTGCAGTTCACCATCGAGCCGTTTTGGGAGGACTCGCCACGTATCCGGCAGATTCGCACCCAGCTGGCCGACATCCAGCGGCTGTACAAGGCGGCGCTGAAGCGGCAGCGACTCTCGCCGCGCAAGAGCGCCGACTCGCCGAGCAAGCGGCGCGCGGCCGGCCGCGGCGCGCGCCGCTCGCTGGCCGGCCGGCGCCGCTCCGACTCGGCGCGCACGCCGCCGCGCGCCGCCTCGCCGGCCGCAGGGCCGCCCAGCGCGTCCGTGCCTACCGCCGCCGCCGCCACCGCCGCTGCCGCCGCTGCTGCCGCCGCCAACCGCCACCCGCCAACGCCCGCCGCCGCCGCCGCCAACGCGGCCGCCACCGCCGCCGCCGCCAACGCGGCCGCCACCGCCGCGACCCCTGTGACGGCTCCCGCTACTGCTTCCACCGCCGCCGCCGCCGCCGCCGCCGCCGGAGCCGCCGCCCGCCGCCGCCGGAGCCGCTGCCGCCGTGTCGGCCGGCGGTGTCGGACACGGAGAGCGAGGACGGCGGCCGCCTTTTCGTCTGGGAGGACACGGCGTGCGCCGACACCGTCAGCTACTCGTTCTCCAGCCGACAGCACGATAAATACACCAACGGCATTCGGGTGCGTACGGCCCGGCCGGCGGCGGCGGGGACTTGGGAACGATGGGCCAGCTCGGTGTTTGGTTGGTTGGTGCAGGGGTGACAGGGCTTCGCCCGAGGTGTATTTCGGCAGCGAATCATGCCGCTGGGGTGAGAAGGTGTGCTCTCTGCTCTACGCGGCCAGTTGTAATCAGAATATTAGTTCTTCGGCGATCTCCAGTGCACTAGGCCTCGAGGCGGGATACGCGGATACGGGTCCCCCACGCGGCATGGCTTACTTGGCGCACTCAGCTCAACAGTGGATGTGATAGGCCACGATAAGAAATTACTCCCATTGATGTCTGTTTGTTGGTAAACTCTGTTTCCATGCTTTCAGAATCTAACCATTGATTGTTTTTCAGCTACCAGTGTGCTCTGTGCACTTACCGTTCACTTGATGGCTGTTGTAGTATGGAGTGCTGAGCTTCCCTGTTGCTCCGCTGGGCACAACCGGTGCGCTCTACACACCGGCCCACGTGGTGGGTGTGCCGTGAATCCCTCTGACGACGCCTGCTGCTGTCGGCAGGCGCTGGCTGAGTGCAAGAAGCGCAAGGTGCCTCAGACGGCCGACCCGGACACAGCCGCCTCTGATCCGGAGCTCGTGTCCAGCCGCAAGAAGCGCAAGCTGTGCCCGCCCAAGAAGCACTCCTTCTCGCCCGACGACACCGAGACCATCGTGGCCAAGAAGAAGTGTTTCCCACTGCTCAAGCCCAAGCTGAAGCCCAAGCTGAAGGCGGAGGTGATCCTCAAGGACCGGCTGAGCGACAGTGAGGAGCTGACGCCGGCGCCGCCTCCGCCGGCGCCAGCGGCGCCTCCGGCCGTCATCCGGCGGCGCTCCGCCAGCCGGGAGGCGCCGGCGCCTCCGCAGCGGCGCAGCAGCAGCGCTGACGCCGCCGGCGCCGCCGAAAAGACGGCGGAGCCGGCGGACCCGGCCGCCGGCGACCCGGCGGCGCCGGGCGGCGTCGGCAGCCACGTCGAGCGCCGCCCAGCCGGAAGCCGGCCGCCGCCCCCACTAACGGCGAGGCACAGACCGGTAGGTCACAGGCCGGGCAGGTCAGACTCGAGCTCTTAGGCAGTGGGAGGCGACCTGTGAGGCCCGTCTACCTGCTGCATTGACACTTATTTGCCAGTTAAGGCTGGCTGATTGCATGCGGCTTTTGGCTGACTTCGTGGCTGACTATGTGACCTTGATTGTGACCTGATGTCCCAACTTGAGGACCGATGTGCGGTTGGACGTTTCCGGTTTGGTCTTCACCGGCATCGGTGGTCGTGGTTGCCGATGGCATTCGAGGCGTGCAGTCACACTCACGGTCCGTCTGAAGCCCTACTGATGGTGGTCGCCTGCTACGGTAGTTCCCGGGGAGGTACAGTGTCCCGCGCCCCGCAGCGCCCCTACAGCTGCCGTACCAGGTCAGGCCAGGTCATGGGACGACTGACCCAATCACTCGGCAACTGGTGCCCGAACTCTTGTGAAGGCGCCGGCTCTTCTCGAGAGGCCCACCGACGTCACACCGACGTCATGACGCGTGACGACGTCACAGCTCGTGACGTGTGCGGTCCCAGTGGCCGTGCCGGCCTCGGAGGTGACGCTGCGGCGTGCGCCGCCGCCGCCGCTGTCGGTGTCGCTGACGGTGCTCGTGTCTCTGCTCAGCTCGCCTGGAGCCGGCGCTGACCGCCGCCGACCTGGCCGAGGAAGCCCGCCTGCTGGTGCTGATCGACGGCCTCTTCTACCGGAGCCAAGTGCGGCCCATCCAGCCGCCGGACCTGTACGGCGTCACGGTGGAGGGCGAGCGCTGCCACCGGCCCACCATCTACACCCAGGAGGACCTGCTCAACCAGGCGGTACGGCGGCCACAGCGACGGCCCAGCTGTGACGCCCGGGCGGCGCCGCAGAACGAGGGGGCCGACAGCATACTTTTGCTGGCAGCGAAATGGTCATTAGATTACCTGTTGGCGCAAAATGATCACAACGGGACGTTTCGAAGTTAGCTGTACATGAGCAGTACCAAAACCCAGGTGGTTGTTTTAGCGTGCACCTTTTCCATGGTGCGGTCGTATGCCACATGGCTGCCGCTGCTACAGTGCCTCCTTGTCTGTAGGGCTCCCGGGCTCAGCAAAAGCTGTTGCCTGTCAGACGTCAGCCGCCATTATTGGCGGACTGATAACGCAGACCACGGATTATGGTCTTCGAAGCCCGATGTGTTTCCAAGTCACCACTCAGCAAACCAGCTGCCTTCCGCCCCTCCGCCGCCCTCCCAGACGTGCCCCCCCCCCCCTCCCCCCCCCCCTGCTGACCGGGCGGCCGGGGTCGGCAGGTGCGCGAGGTGCGGCCCGTCTCGTTCTCGTCGCTGCGGCCGGGCACGCGCGTGCTGGCCAACTGGTCGCCGAAGCTGCGTGGCCTGTTCCCGGGAACGGTGACGGAGGGCGCCTCGCCAGAGCCGGGCATGATGTACGTCGAGTTCGACGACGGCGACAGCGGCTACATGAGGCTGGAGGGCATCCGTATGCTGCCGAAGGACTACCCGCCTGTCGGTCAGTTCGTGAGCGCATGTGCTGGGTGGGTGGACGGGTCCAGTGCCAGTTGTGGTTGTAGGTGTCATTGGGGCTTTACAACGCACTCAGCCTGCTGAGGCTTTATGGCGTCGCCTGCCTCTCACCCTGGCAGGAAGGGCGGACACCGCGGAGAATCAAACCCCGTACCTCTGGTTTCCCAGACGCGCAGTGGTTAACGCAGACGCCCTAGCCACTACACTACCGGCACCCACGGCATTTGTGGTTATGTTGTTCCCAAGGAGGAGTGTAAAAATATAACTGAAGTCCATTCTCAGAAATAAGCTGGTTTGGGATAGGAACCCAGTCCCCGCGGCTCCGTTGCCCCTGGGACCTCAGGCTTGTAACTACCGCTTGTTGGCTTAGTGGGGGATCGGCTAGTTGGTTGGTTGGTTGGTTGGGCAGTTGGTTGGCTGATTGGCTGGTTTTTGCTTGGTTTGTTGCTGTTTTGTTGAAATATTGGCGTTTCCATGCATGCGGATAAGTCCAGTGTCGAAATAAATACTGTGCTATCACTGCATAACAGTGAAAACGGCGCATTGATAATGTAGCTATACTTGCTGTTAAAGCATAGCTGCGACACCGAACACACGCAGGCTGAGGGAGAGTTTCCTACACCGGCTTTGGGTGCTGACCAGTATGCTGCCCTTTGTCCATATCTCATTGATACAGCGTGTGAGCCACGGTCGGACAGGAGGGGGGGGGGGGGCACTAAACGCCGTGTTCCGCACGTGACCTCCCCCCACGGGGCAGGGGCAGGTTGGAGCAGGTCATTGATGTACGCGCCTGTGTCGGGAGCGGCGCGTGTGTGCCAGCGGGCCGGCCGTCTGACGCGGCGACCCCCCCCCCCCCCTCAGAGCACGACCAGGACCCGCTGGACACGCTGAGCAGGCGTCGGCGGCGAGCATCGTCGGGCACGTCGGCCACCTCCAGTCAGCGGGCTGCCAGCCGGCTGAGCGTCAGTGACGAACGCTGGGAGCCGCCGCCGCCGCTGGCCGGCGCCGAGCTGGCCAGGCCGCGCCACATGGACTCGTCCAAGCCGCCCCGAACGGACGAGTCCACGCCCGCCAGGGGGGAGGACGCCGACGCCGTCTGGCGGGACGAGTCCAAGAAGCGGGCGAAAGCGGAGTGCGAAGTGGAGAAGAAAGACGAGCCGCTGCACAGACGCAGGGAGGAGTCGGAGCAGAAGGGTGGGACGAAACAAAAACGAGCCGACAGTTCGAAAAAGCGACGACTTGAGGAGCATGGGCAAAAGCGAAAAGAAGCGCCTAAGCAGAAGAAGACGGCGCAGGCGAAGCAGGCAAGGACGGAACCCACCAAGTCGCAGAAGAAAGAGCAATCCAAACAAACTGCGCGCTCCAAAACAAGCCAGCACCCGGCGGAGAATGGCAAGTCAGAAGGGCTCAATACGAGTGCAACCAAACCGGCAAAGCAGCGCAAGCAAAAGCGAAGCAAAGAACCTCCGGAGCCCGCCTCCAATGGCGTGGGACACGAGCGCGAGGTCGGGTCAGACGCCCGTGGGGAGCGGCGAGCGGAGAAGAAGAAGTCGGCCAAGCGGCGCCTCTCGGCCGGAGAGAGCTACGTGGTGGAGCAGGAGTCGGAGCTGAAGATCCGTATCAAGTCACCGAGTCCCGGGCGACGCCAGAGCGAGGATGCGCAGCTCAAGCGACAGCCGGCCGCCGACGCCAAGAAAAGGAAAAAGTCCGAGGTAAGACGACCGGTGGCCCGCGGCGGCGCAGAGCAGGCTGGTGAAGGCAGTGGGCTCTGCAGAGCATTCTGCCTAGCTTCTTTGCGTCATTGTTGGGCCGTTGGTAGTCCGAGCTGTTATCTTTCTTGTTCGTGTGCTAAGCGTTAAAGCTATCTTATTTTGAAACAGGGCTGCGTTGGGATGCATGCTCCTGCTTTGGTCAGTCATCGCCACTCCACCCTCCGAAATTGAAAAAACAGCCGGCGAAGAGGCTTGAACCCGCGATCTTCCGATGACGCCCGAGCTACCGCCCACTGACGGCGGGGCAGAGCCGGCGGCTGGCTGACAGTGACCTACCCGTAGGGGCGTCAGCGGCACCCGTCCGGCATGGCAGCCTTCCTGCCCGAGCGTCAGCTCTGGCACTGGTCCGGCAAGGGCGTGAAGCGGCCGGCCAGCAAGGGCAAGGCTAAGCGCGAGGTGTACAAGGGCATCGCCCGAGGCCCGGAGGAGATCAGCGTAAGTTTGGCGAGCGCGGTCGGACCTCGGACATCGACTGCTCCGCTGGTGTTCTGTATTGTTTTAGATAGCTGGTGCCTGTTGCATCAAGTGAAACACGCATGTCACGTGCCCGGGGTAACGTGAAGTCCCAGTCATTCACAGTCTTGTACATATAAGTATTTGGTACAGATGGGAATTATTTTGGCTGATTTTCTGACTGACTGAATTATGGACGCGTTACCTACGTCTGCTGTGAACTTTTGCTCGCAAGCGTCGACCAGGTCTGTCTCCAGCCGTCGTCAGATGCCGCCTGGTCCTGAGAGCGTTTTGCGGTGGACGATGTGCCTTTGGTGGCCGCCAGACGAAAGCCGCACGATACATAAGTTTACGGTCTGGCCAACAGGTGGGCGACTGTGCCGTGTTCCTGTCGGCCGGCCTGCCGGACCGGCCGTACGTGGGCCGCATCCACGCGCTCTGGGAGGCCACCTCTGGCCAGATGCTGGTCCAGGTCGCCTGGTTCTACCACCCGGAGGAGACGTGCGGTCTGGACCGGCCTCTCAACGAGCCCAAGGTAGCGGAGGAGGAGGGAAGGAGGGGAGGAGGGGAGGTGCTCTGGCGTCACCCTTTGTGGGGCTGCGCGCGGATGCGAGCAATGAGAAGGTGAACGGGACTCGCTTAATCCTCTTCACTGGTCAGTGACTGTGTGCGTGCTTGTGTAGAAACTGCCACTGTCAGTGCTCAGTCTGGGAGCAGCACTGACCTAAGACCGCGGATGTGGGCAGTGGTTCGTGCGGGCCCCGCGCGGCTCTGCTTCCCTCTCAGCCCCATCCAGTGCCACAAATTCCATTAAAAGATTGGCCAGTACCGCGGCTTGAGCCCCGTACATCTGATGTGTCGCCTACTGCGGCCGTGGAAACACACGAGGCCCTGGTTCGTGACGTGACGTGACGATGACGCCTGTCACGCCCCGCTTTCCGCCGGCCACCGGTTGCCGACCGCCGCACGGCCCTCGCTCTCCCGCCGCCATCGCGATCGCCCCTGACGGCGCGCCCCCCTCTGCGCAGGGCGGCCTCTTCGAATCGCCGCACATGGACGAGAACGACGTACAGACAATCAGCCACCGGTGCCGGGTGGTGAGCCTGGCCGATTACCGACGGCTGGCGCACGCCGCCGCCGACAACGAGACGTTCTACCAGGCCGGCTTCTACGAGCCACGCAGCCAGAAGCTGACGTTCGAGCCGCAGGTGGTGGACTGAGCGGCGCTGGCGCCCGCGCGCGCCGCCGACACGTGCCTGCTCAGCGCTCGCCGCACGCGCCAGAATCGTATTTTTGTGACGCGTGACGCAGCGCCGTAGTATTTTTGCGACGCGAGTCGGAGTGCCGTAGTATTTTTGTGACGCTGCCGCGGCCGCAGGCGGCGGCCGGCCGGCTGCGGGCGGACGTAGCCGAAGACAAATATCAGGTGGTGTTTCAGGTGCCGGGCCTCCGCGGGGGCAGCTCGGCTCGGCTATTTTGTTAACCCGAGTCGGTATTTTGAGCGACTGACGCGCCGCCTTGTGGGCGTTTGTCGCGCGCGGTTTGTGGCGCCCGCCGCGCCAGGCCGCCGCGTTCGGAGGAGAGAGCGAGAGAGCGAGAGAGCGATGTGGGCCCGGCTCGGAGGCCTGCGCCGCGCCGGCTCTGTGTGTGACCCCACCCCTCTAGTCACGTGACAGGTCGCCGAGGTGCGCGATGCACGACGTTGCAGGAGACGATGCATTTACTGTGGTGGTGTCGGTGGCGGCGTGGCTGGCGCGTGGCGAGCGCGGGCGACGGCACGAGCGTGGGATGTTTTCGGGTGTCGCCAGAGGCGTCAGCTAGCGGGAGCGGTCTCAGACTAAAGCCAGGCATGTGCCAGCGGCCCAGGAGCGGTGCCCGGCGCCGATGGAGAGCGTTGGAGAAGGATCTTTGAGGGTAAGAAGGCTGTGCGGAGGAAAGTGTTATTTTTCCCCTTTTTCTAAGATCGTGTCTGAACCACTGACCGACGACGTGCTGCGGTCTTTGCATCATGCTTGTAATTAACTGGTGAATATTGACGCGGAACTCTTCAGTTCGGAATTCTCTGCTATTGTCTTTACTTGTTTCGTTTGACGGAATTTTGCTTGTCATTTGGAACCAGTGGTGCGGGGAGGACCGGGCGGAAGGGGTTGGTGAAATGGGTCCGGAGCAGTGGCTCATATGCGGGCCGCGTGTAAGTACCTGACTAGTCCGTCTCCCACGGGACGGGCTTCTGTGCACGTGTGTTTGTGCACTGCCACGTTATTGATGGTGGCTCGTTCTCAAATGGCCGAGTGACGTCATCAAAAGCAGCTCCCACTGCAGTGCCTGGGAAGGAGCCGATGCTGGCGACGTGGCAGAGTCTGCCGTTGGCCGTGCTCGATTTGCTCGCTCGTTTTATAGACATCGTCCAGCCCATATCCCGGCCTTCATTTCAGAGTTGACCCTGTACATATGTGCGCTTTTGTTATTGTGACTATATGCTACACGCTATGCCTAGATTTGTAATAAATTTATCTCTGAACGTCTTTCGCAGTGGATTGATGGCTGGAGTGATCCGCGTGACCAGCTAGAGTCGCATCACTCGTGGGTGTCACGAACGCCGCCGCGCAGAGCCACTGACCCTACTGAGTTGTATTTTGACGCCACAGCCGAGCTGGTGTCTGCGCAGTTAAAGACACGCTTGACACCACAGCCGAGCTGGTGTCTGCGCAGTTAAAGACACGCTTGACACCACAGCCGAGGTGGTGCCTGCGCAGTTAAAGACACGATTGACACCACAGCCGAGCTGGTGTCTGCGCAGTTAAAGACGCGCTTGACACCACAGCCGAGGTGGTGCCTGCGCAGTTAAAGACGCGCTTGACACCACAGCCGAGCTGGTGCCTGCGCAGTTAAAGACGCGCTTGACACCACAGCCGAGCTGGTGCGTGCCCAGTTAGTGACCCACTCGACACTACAGACGAGTTGGTGTTGTCTCGGCGTCCGCGACGATCCTGTCGCCCATGAGTTCCTTTCCGTCGTTAACGCCGATCTTCCTCACCCTAAATGTCTTCTCGTCGTTGGTACCGATCCCGTCACCCGTAAACGCCTACGTCATCAGTGATGATTCTGTCTCCCTTCAGCTGAGTGAGTCAGGACTGCCATTCCGGTATAAGTGTAGGTTAAATTGCTGTGATATAAGTTAGATATAATGCAACCCATCCCAGTCTGTTCCAACTTTTCGCTTAAATTTGACAGAACTGGAACTCAGCAGCGCAGGCTTACGAGCGAAACGATCAGTGAATTTGCTGCACGTTCCAAGGCATAAGGGTTTCTTAGAAAATAAATTGCCTATAGACTAAACATAAAACAGCATCTCTACAATGTTTGCTACACCTACTCAGCAATCACGAAAGCACTTTTGCAGGGATACGCCGACGCAAGTAGGCCGTGTGTCCCGGAGAACGTTTACAGAACCGCAGCAGAATTCGACACGGTCGGCCCTCCGTGCACGACACGTTTGGTGTTGGCCATGCAACGTCCATAGCCAGGGCAGTGATTGATCCCATAAGCAATGAGCGCGCATAGCTCTTCCGTTAGCGCGTAGACGTGAATCCCGCCCTACGCTGGAAAAGGGAATTGGGAAACCACAAAACGCGTGGACGTGAATCCCGCCCTACGCTGGTGGAAGAGATCGGAAAACCACAAAACGCGTGGACATGAATCCCGCCCTACGCTGGTGGAGGAGATCGGAAAACCACAGAACGCGTGGACGTGAATCCCGCCCTACGCTGGCGGAGGAGATGGGAAAACCACAAAACACGTGGACGTGAATCCCGCCCTACCGCTGGTGGAAGGGATAGGAAAACCACAAAACACGTGGACGTGAATCCCGCCTTACGCTGGTGGAGAAGATCGGAAAACCACAAAACACGTGGACGTGAATTTCGCCCTACGCTGGTGGAGGAGACCGGAAAACCACAAAACACGTGGACGCGATTCCCGCCCTACCGCTGGTGGAGGAGATCGGAAAACCACAAAACACATGGACGTGAATCCCGCCCTACCGCTGGTGGAGGAGATCGGAAAACCACGAAACACGTAGACGTGAATCCCGCCCCCACCGCCGATAGAGGAGATTAGGGAAGCACAAAACGCGTGGACGGGAATCCCACCCTACCGCGGATGGAAGGGTTTGGGAAACCACAAAACACGTGGACGTGAATCCCGCGCTACCGCTGATGGAGGGGATTGGGAAACCACCATACGAGCGATGAAAAACTGAGGTCTACAATGTGGTGCTTTTTCCTGCGCTGAATAGAAAACGACGCACATCAATCCCACATCACGAATGCCACCAAATGGAAGTGCAAACGCCCATATGGCTATTTCCCTGTAACCAAGCTGGCGGCCGTGCGATCGCCGAAGCCTAGGTCACAGGCTCCATGCTTGGCCCGTGACCGTCACAGGCCCCAGGTATTCATCCCTTGTGTGTTCGCTTGGCGGTAAGCGCGGCACCACGCGCACCCGGCTGAGGCGGCGGATTGCTGCGTACAAGGGGGGGGGGGGGATGCCTTTGAGCGGTGTTGAATGTAAGGCGCTCAATGGACGCTGAACCGTCAGCCGAGGCAATCACTGGGCCGTTACTCGCACAGGATGGACGCGCGCGCCATTTCTGATCGATGCCACTTCATTCGCGTGGTAGTTCATCGAGCATTAGAAGAAGCTATTCACCTCCGTGAAAAGATACAGCTTGGAGGGCGAGGACGTGACGTGAATTGGAGGCCCCCATGGATAGGTTGTTTGGTATGTCGCTGAAGCAACGGCCGCAAGTACACGTAGGAGCACAGCCGTCCCCGCAGGGGGCGCCGACCTCGGCCGAGGTAGGGAACTAGCGCCCCCTCGGATCCCAGCTCCGGTAACGGGTGGACGGCGCGAGCTGTCCACTTCAAATCTTAGTGACTCTGCGGTGCGTGAGCTCCAGCTCGCTGTCCCACCCGCTCCCATCGCCCGCACTACCGCATCGCGCGCGCCCTGCCAACACTCCTCGTCCTCGCGCTATCGTCGCCGCCGTGCCGCCTCGCCCGCGGCCTCGGGTGGATCGCTCCTGGTGGCTGAGGGGAGGGGGAGGCCTCAATACTCCACCTCTGTGCCAGGATTTCTGGGGGCCCGGGGACCCGTGGGATCCCACACAGGTCCAGCGGGCCTGCCGCCCGCCCTGTGTCCGGGCACCGCCTATGGATCTCCGCCAGGGGCGCCTGGCCGCGCGCGGCGGCCCAAGGGGCTCAAGGGGCAGCGGCGCTGAAGCACGGTCGGGACGAGGAGGGGTTCCCGGTTACACCTGGCCGTGTGGAAGAAAGGCCCCCCCCCCCCCTTCAGCACTGGGGTAGCCCCAGCGGCGACCACATTTCTGGGCAGTGCTGAGCCGTCCCGGGCTCCGAGGTGGTGGGAGCGACGGCGCCAAGATCTAACCAGCTTGCAAGGCATCAGCTGACGAAAAACACCCGACCCCCGAAGGGCGGAGGAACTGTGGTGCCGCATCAGCAGCTCTGTAACCTGCTTGCAGCGATCCTTTAGTTGTTTGCCATCCTGATACACTACGTTTGTCTCACTGTCAGTTGATGCAAAAATCAAGTGTTTTGAAGCGAAGCTGATTGGCTGCCACTGCATATCTGTCAAAAAAACTGCAGGACGTAGCCAACGAAGTCGGAGTGGGACGTTACTCGTCAGGCACAAGCTTACCCAGTCCCTGTCCGCCCCCGTGGGTGCTGTGCTCGTCGCCCCGCGTGATATAACCCCGCACGAGCTGGCAGCTGAGCTGGTTCCTCGCATACAGACCATCTGCGCGGTCGCTGCAGTCCAGCAGCAGCAAGCCTGCAGTGAGAGCAGAAGAGTTTATGTCCGACGAGTAACAGCGCAGGCCAGCAGTGCAGGTCAGAACCGTAAGGGCTCTAGCCGTTCCATGGGGGTCAGAGGTCACTGGTGTGCAGAGCTCAGCCGGCGCTTTGACCACCAGACCAGCCCAAGGATGCCAATATCAAACTACATCTAAGGAACCATCCTCAGCGGGAAGCAAGAAGGGCAGGTGCATGTTTCTTTGACATGTTCTGACACTTCGTGAAGTCGCAGCCCGGTCGAAGTCCAGAAGCTAAGGCTCGTTGTTAACACAGGTGCACGGTTATCTCTTCTCTCTCGTGGCATCACCAACGGCTTGACACTCCAGTGCATTGCTGCCACCTGCTGCTGCTGCTTCGCTGCCATTGGTGTGCCCCACCATACCTGTGGCGAGCTTTCTTGTCCGTGACTTTCCTGGCGCTCCGACGCTCTTTCCCATGGACCTCCGTTGTCGCTGATGTTATCCCCCTTCCTGGCAATGATTCCCTGTTGCAGCACCATCTTATGACCTGTGGATCTCAGGCCCCAACCGTCCCCTTGACTCGTCCCAGGAGACTTTGTGGTCAACAAGGCCCTGGATCAAACTCTTAAGGTCCGGGTTTCCTGCGCCAGCACCTTTCTGTCCCAAAGCCTTATCAATCAGGAGATGCCTCTGCATGTCCCCAATCCCAGGCGTCCGCAGCGTGGACACTGACAGATTGCCACCAACGCTGACGAGTTCCACACGCCCGCCACGAGACAAGAGGAGTCCTTCCATGTTCTCCTGGAGGATGGTGTGGTCTGTCCGTCAAGTTCACCTTGGGCCTCACCTCTGCACGTGATGCTAAAGAAGAAACCAGGTGAGTGGCGGGCCGCTTAAGTGCTGCCACTGAACTGCTGCCACTGAACTGCTGTCGGTAAACGACGACCGCTGCGCGCTGAGCGCCACCACCAAGCCAGACCGGCACACTCTGCTCAACATTCAGAGCCTCTCTATCAGGCTGCATGGGAGGGCAGCCTTCAGCAGGATTGACCTGCTTCGCACATGCCATGATATCCCGATGAACCCCCAGGGGTCCGAGAAGATTGCCGTCACCACTCCCTGGGCCCCCGCTTCGCACATAGCATCAGATCCCGATGAACTCCCAGGGCTCCGAGAAGATTGCCGTCACCACTTTCTGGGCCCTGCTTCGCACATACCATCAGATCCCGATGAACCTCCAGGGCTCTGAGAAGATTGCCGTCACCACTCCCTGGGCCCTGCAAACTCCTCTCCGTGCCGTTAGGTATGCAAAACAGTGGTGCCGTATTTCAGCCGCTTGTGGACAGCATCTTCCGGTAGGACAGCTGTGTCTTCGCCTATTTCACCGACATCTCATCTCTCCGCAGACAAAGGCCAGCACCACCGGGACTTGGAGACCGTCCTCCAGCTCCTGCTCGATCGCTGCCTCCTTCCAGAGCATCCACTCCGCCAATCTACCGGTTCTCATCGTAGGCGACTTTAACTTGCCTGAGATTTGGTGGCGGGGGTAATGGTGATGAGGCTACGCTACTCAGGCTCACCGTCAGAGCGGTCAGATTCGTAGCCTCTATCGCTGAGTGAGAAGCAGTGCTGCAATCTGTGACGGCACCAACGCGCGGGGAGAAGACTCTGGACGTCGCCATCTCCTATGGC